GCTTGACTCGTTCGTTTTTTAAATATGAACTAAATTTAAACAACAACTAATATTTGAACGTCAGTACTGCCCTCGAAATTCCGCATAAAAAACGAATCAAATCAAATCGCACATGCCCGACTCTTTTATTGTCTGCAGGTGTCTACAGAAAACAAGGAGAGAAAACTTCAGTAAAAAATTTTGAACCCGAGAATAATCCTACCGAAAAAATTTACCTAGCAAAGAAAAGAAAGTATGAGAAAAAGCAGAGAAAAATGACTGAGAAAATTAAATCTACTGAAAACAAAGATGACGAAAAAACAACGAAAAAAGTAGGGTTGAAGGAAATAAAGAAGAAGTTCAAGAAGTTCGTCTGCTATCGAACTGCAAGTCCGACAGTGAAACAGCCTGTACACTCCATAAAAAAGGAAAATTAAAATAAAATATATTAACAAATAATTCAATTATTCAAAAAATACAATTAACTAATTAAATTAAATTAAATATATTTAATACATACAAAAGTGAAGACAGTTTCAACAGCATACATTTACATCATCGTGTCTATACGTGTATGTATGCATACATACATTATGTCAAAGCAGCAACAAGAACAACGGCTGCGGGCAGAGCTTCGGCTGAGAAAAAATTTTTTTAATTATTTATTAAACTTGATATACGGACTCATAGCCACTAACTGGAGGAATTTGCCAAATCTGAGTAAAAAATTCCAAAATTACGGGAGTTATGGAAGAAACACGAACTGCGCGGAGCGGGTGGCGTATCAGAAAAAAGCACAAATTCGTCCTTTCTCGGACTTAGGAGAATCTGGATACCGAGTTTGGTTATTCTAGCTCTTATACTTTCTGAGATCCTTGCGTTCATACAGACATACAGACAGACATGGCTATATCGACTCGACTTGTCATCCTGATCAATAATATGTATACATTGTGGGGTCTGCCACGCCCCCACGCCTTTTACCCTTTGGGTACAGGTGCAATTGCTTCTATAATCGACCGCCATTTTGGACTGTCCAGCGAAAAGCCCTCCAACACATTTTCATGGCTGATCCCACACTGGCCAAATAAATATGTATTTAGACTCTCCGAGTCCCTAGCCAGCACAAACTAATTTAATTTATTTGTTATATGCTTTTTGTGGAAATGGGTACAGGGTATGTAAGAGTTGGGCTTGCTCGATTCTAGCATTTCATTCTTGTTATACCCTGCACATAAAATGTACAAGGGTATATCTCTATATATATATAAAACAGTTTGTCCTGACTGACTGATTGGCAATCAACGCACAGCCCAAACGGTAAGAGCTAGGAAGCTGAAATTTGGACGGAAGATCCCTCTTATAGTGAAAGTGAGCACTAAGGTTTCGGAAAACTCGAGCTCCAAAGGGGGGAAAACGAGCTCCAACGTTTGTATGAAAAATCTACAATACAATCCGATTAACTTCAAACTTAGTTTGTATACTCTCACAAAGAATACAAAAAAAACTGTATACTTGGATTTTCAATATTTTTCCTGCGGCCTGAATAATAATGATTTTCCGGTGGAAAATTCGGTAAACGAAAAGCTATTTGCAATCAACTCATAGCCCACACGGTAAGAGCTAGGAGGCTGAAAATTGGACACATGTTGTCTTCAGTGGTGTAGGTGAGCACTAAGAAGCGGTTTTGGAAAATTCTAACGCCAAAGGGGGGAAACGGGCTCCAACGTTTATATGAAAAATCTACAATTTTCATCCAATTAACTTCAAACTTAGTTTGTATACTCTCAAAAAGAATACAAGAAAAACTGTATACTTGGTTTTTCACCATTTTTCCTGGGGCATGAAAAAGGGGGGGTTTTCCGTGAAAAAATTGAAACACAATCAACACCCCACAGCCCAAACGGTAAAAGTAAGGAAACTGAAATTTAGGCTCAAGTATGCTGTCATAATGTAGGTGCTTACTAAGAAGGGTTTTCGGAAAATTCGAGCTCCAAAGGGGGGAAGTCGAGGTCCAAAGTTTGTTTGAAAAATCCGCATTTTTTAGCCGATCGACATAAAACTTGGTTTCTGAAATCAATAAAAGAATACAAAGTAAACTGCATACTCGGTTTTTAAATTTTTTGTTGGAGCTTGAATTATTGGGGTTTTAATATTTATTCACTATTTCAAATGAAAAGTTTGTGTTATAAATTTAGTCCGATCGATTTAAAATTTGGGTAATGTACGTAACTAAATCTACAACTTTGCATTCAAGGATTTTCAAAATATGCATTTTACAAAAGCAGGCAGAACAAACAATACAAAATATCAAACAGTTGGGGACAACTAAGTATACATACACACACACACACACACACACATGCAAGCAGCTGTTCGTGTAGTTGCGTGCAAACGATTGAAATAGCCAAAGCAAAATGTGAGACAATAATGTGTGAATGTCCATACATATGTGCACATCTATGTATGTACATATGTATCTACATATGTATGTATGTACATTCGTCTTGCACTGACAGAGCAAGAAATGTTAATTAATTGAAAATTATATAACATTTTTAAAAGTATTTTTTTCGTTGTTTAGTGCATTTGGCATTAGGGTTTTCATTAATAACTTTATGCAGCAACAACAAATATCAAATAGTTGGGGACATCACATACACACACTCACACACACAACAAGCAACAGTTCGTGTCTATGTGCGCGGTTCTCTACGTATGTATGTATGTATATGATTTGTTCTTATTGATCTCAATAAATAATTAGATTTTATTATTTAAATATTCTGCTTTTTGCATTCAATCTTCGATATTTTGATAGTATCGGTGGCTTCAACTATCGAAACTATCGAATTGTCAGTGCTTTTTGATCGTGACTCATCGCTCACCGGAAACATTGACACGAGTGCCGTGTTTCATATTCCGAGTTTGTGCGTGACCGTATTGACTCAATATGGCACGAAAAGACTCAAATGTGAATTTAAAATTAGGATATACCCTTATAATTATTCCCCTTTTTTGCACATAGTCTATCTTAAAACGTTGTTGGGAAAACGAGCTTTATAAAATATTTATATTTATATTTAAAACTAGCAGGTATTGCCCGTCTTAACCCGGCTCAATATAATGTTTCCAATTGTATTTATTTTGTGTGTGCATAACCTACCCATATGTTTTCACCTTATAAGTTACCAGTAGGAAGGCATTTAAGGTATTTAAATGAACATTTTCTGTTCTTGACAAAAAATTGTTCAGTAGTCCGTTACATTTTTGTTCTTGCCAAACTATTTCGTTAAACGAACATGACCACTATAACTAATATTTTTAAAGCTCGTTTTCCCCCCTTTGGAGCTAGAATTTTCCAAAATCCCTTCTTAGTGCGCATCTACACCATGATAGGATACTTGAGCCCAAATTTCAGTTTCCTAGCTTTTACCGTTTGGGCTGTGGGGTGTTGATTGTGTTTCAATTTTTCCACGGAAAACCCCCCTTTTTCATGCCCCAGGAAAAATGGTGAAAAACCAACTATACAGTTTTTCTTGTATTCTTTTTGAGAGTGTACAAACTAAGTTTGAAGTTAATTGGATGAAAATTGTAGATTTTTCATACAAACGTTGGAGCCCGTTTTCCCCCCTTTGGCGTTCGAATTTTCCAAAACCGCTTCTTAGTGCTCACCTACACTACTGAAGACAACATGTGTCCAATTTTCAGCCTCCTAGCTCTTACCGTTTGGGCTGTGCGTTGATTGCAGATAGCTTTTCGTTTACCGAATTTTCCACCGGAAAATCATTATTATTCAGGCCGCAGGAAAAATATTGAAAATCCAAGTATACAGTTTTTTTTGTATTCTTTGTGAGAGTATACAAACTAAGTTTGAAGTTAATTGGATGAAAATTGTAGATTTTTCATACAAACGTTGGAGCTCGTTTTCCCCCCTTTGGAGCTCGAATTTTACGAAACCCCTTCTTAGTGCTCACTTTCACTATAAGAGGGATCTTGTGTCCAAATTTCAGCTTCCTAGCTCTTACCGTTTGGGCTGTGCGTTGATTGCCAATCAGTCAGTCAGTCAGTCAGTCAGGACAAACTGTTTTATATATATAGAGATATTAGTTATAGTGGTCATGTTCGTTTAACAAAATAGTTTGACAAGAACAAAAATGTAACGGACTACTGAACAATTTTTTGTCAAGAACAGAAAATGTTCATTTAAATACCTTAAATGCCTTCCTACTGGTAACTTATAAGGTGAAAACATATGGGTAGGTTATGCACACACAAAATAAATACAATTGGAAACATTATATTGAGCCGGGCTAAGACGGGCAATACCTGCTAGTTTTAATATAATATATTAAAATATAATATATTATAATATAATAACCCTGATAATTTTCAGGGTTGTGCAAAGATGAAAGCCAAAAATGTAATGTCTACTTAAACTCTGCTTTAGCTCAACTCTGTACTGAACACATACGCCCACACAGACTCGCATAGAGACAATTAGACACAGTCCTATTAACATGAGATCGAAAACCGATTTAAAGTTGATAATTTATTTTTATTTTCATGCCTTTACATATGTGTACGTGCACATGTGTTTAAAAGTGGATGCGCCCGATAAAGGCTTTTCCACTTGTTTTTTTTTTCATAAGTACAGCCTATTAATATTTCCGTATTAAATGCAAACATTTCAATAAAGTCTGATATAATTGGGAAAACAAAAGGAAAAAAATGACAACATACGAATACAAGGAACTATTTCGTCATGTTTTAACAATAACACCCTAAACCTATCGGAACTCCCAATAAATTTCGCTCCGCAAGATATTCCCGAACCGATTTCCCTAGAGCAAAGACTTTGCGTCTGCTAAGGGAAGGGCCTTCTCCACTTCATATCTGCAACTTCTGCAGAAATAATTAAAGGGTATACCAAGTTGCCATCTGAGCTTTAGAAGTGAATTCAATTTCTTTTACCATTCCATTATCCCAATTACAATTGCTTTTGTATTCTCCCGCTGCAGACGCCACCGAGTCGCCATCGGCATTTGAACGCTTCAAGGCACTGCGACGCAGCAATCGACGCAATGGACACAAGAGTCACAAGAAACGCTACAAGGACTATTTGCGCAACGGACTCGACAGCAGCAGCACAGAATCACCGCCAGCAACAACAACAGCAACAACGGTGGCAGGCACAGCACTTCTTCTCACAAGCAGCAGCTCTGGCCAGCGTCCGCAGAAGCTCAAGTTGAAGTTGCAGCATGCAGCTCCAATTTTCGCGCTGGGCACTCGAGGGTCACAGCAAGAACAACAACAACAACAACAACAAGAACAGAAACAACGCATCACGCCTAAGCCTTTCTACGAAGGTCAAATAACATACTACGAACAGGCGGGCGATTCAGTAGCCAGCAATGATGAAACGATTTCTTCAAGTGGTCACAACATCGAACGCATGATTGCAACGGACAACAGCAATTGGTATCGCCGGGTCAGTCCAGTGCTGCGGAATGGCATTAAAAGCACCGAATCGCAGCAACATCACCAACAGCAGCAGCAACAACATCACCATAAACAACAACAGCATCATGCCAAGCAGCAACATTATGGCCACCATCATCAGCATCATCAGCATCAGCACCAGCATCATCACCATCAGCAACACCACCACCAGCAGCTGCAGCAACAGCCACGCCCACGCCTCCCTAATCCCTATCAACGCAAATTGCTGCCGCAAACCACACCGGCGCCTCAACCGCTGCCGCCGCCCAGCTACAAGCAACGAGCGCCGCTGCAGCAGCAACTGGGTCACCAGATCACGGAAATGGAGGAGCTGGAGCGGTACTATGCCAAATGGCCCCATTTGGCACGCGTGCAATTTCAGGTAAATTGCTTATTTGTTTAATTTTTTTTTTTTTTGAATAGAATCTTCTTATGTGATGGTCTTCAATGGATCGGCAACCTTTTCTGTAACGAAGCCAATAGCACGGTCGCAGGCGCACATAAACTATGAATTCCAGAAATATTTTTAATGCGGGTTTTATAACTATATATAGCGGTGTTTCTATCCATTTTTTAACAGGTTTTCTATAAATTTTTAGTCGATTTTCTAGCCATTTTCTGGCGGTTATTCTAGCTATTAGCGGATTTTTGGATCAATTTTCTATATATATTTCTGTGTCCATTTTCTAGCATATTCTACTCATTTCTTGGTTGCTGTCCATGTATAATGCGTTTTGTAGAATTTTTATTTTTATCGCCTTTTCTAGTTATTTATAGCGGGTTTGCTAGCAATTTTCTTGCGGTTTTTCTAGTCAGGGTTTCTATCTATCAGGTTTTCTATCCATTTTCTATTTTTTCGGTTTCATATCCATTTTCTAGCACATTCTACCGATTTAGCTGGGTTTCTACCCATGTATAGTGAGTTTTCTAGCCTTTTCTAGTGAATTTTCCAGCTATTTAAGTTGTGTTTCTTTAATCGCACTTTTCAGTTATTTATAGCGGATTTTCTGACCAATTTCTTGCGATTCTTCTAGCAGGTTTTCTATCCATTTTGTATTTTTTCTTAACTGGTTGTATATCCATTTTGTAGCATATTCTACGCACATTTAGTTGGATTTCTAACCATTTATAACTAACCTTTGTTAGTGGATCTTCGTGCTATAGCGAGGATTTTGGTCATTTTTATACGATTTTCCAGCCATTTTCTATGTACTTATAGTTGTGTTTCTGCCATTTTCTTCGATAACCAACAGCGATAACCATTTTTTAGCCATTCTTTTGAGGCCAAATGTCCATTACCTATTAACCATTGTTGAGAAAATATAAAGGCTCTCCTTACCATTAAAAAAAAAATTAACTCAAATGAAATCAATCGAATAGAACCATCAAGTTCAACGTTCATCGCGTGTCAACCTGACACCAATTTTTTTTATTTATCAACTGGTATTAATATTTCTTCTAATAAGTTGTTTTTTTGTGTCGGGAATGTGTTGCTGCAAATATTTGTGTAAGCTCTTGTACTAACTAATTGTTCAACACCCATTTCAGGTTTACGACGAGCACTATCGTGAATCCCATCCCGAGCTGTATGCCGACTACGATGCTGACGATGAGGACTACGAGACAGCGGCCGAGCTAGAGGAGGCACAGCAAGAGCACGGAGCCGAGGCCAATTTGCCGCCCTACATCAAAAAATATAATCGACGCAACAAACAGCTGCTCAACCTGTTGGAGGGCACTCTGCCGCCGGCCACCCAAACGCCGCCGCTGCGCGCCAGCTGGTCCGGCTCCCTTCTGCAGCCAGGACCGCACGAGAGCAGCGCCAGCGCTGCTGCTGCAGTACGCCTGGATGATGACTATTTGAAGCAAAAGCGACGTCGCTATCACAGTCATAAGCCGTCGCAGTATGCGGATCTATTTTCCCAACAACGACAACAACAACAGCAACAGCAGCAGACAGAGACAACCACGCTGGCAGCACCTGTGCCCACTAGCAGCGTAAATGATGTATTGCTGCACAATCAGTTGCCGGATGAGCAGGAGCAGCTGGACATGTCCGCCGCCGTTGATTTTTGGCAAAAGGAAATCGAAAGCAAATCGAATGCAAATGCAAATGAAATGAACGGAAGCCCACAAATGAGTTGGAAAGTTGAGCGTGGCACAGTGGCATCGACGGTGGCGCCACCCGCCGCCACAAGCAGCCCCAAGCCGGCACTTTTCAAGCTGCCCTCGTATCCTGCCATTGCGGATAGTTTTATGGGCACCCCACGCAGTCGCAGTCGCAGCGCCCAATTCGTCTCGAATGTATCGGGACGAGGTCAGGGCTGGCGCTATGCAGCTGACCCGGACGCCGACGGCAACGGCGCCACCGATGCAACTGCAAACGCAGGCAGCACGCCGGAGCCGCATGCAGCGCCACCCGTACAGCGAGCTCTCAACTCATTTGTCTATCATCGTGTGGTGGATGCCTCGCCTCGACTTGTCGGCGTTTCGAGTCTGTCCAATCGCAAGCAACGCTTGCCCTTTGTGGCCATAACCGATCGACGGCTGGAGACGTCCAAGAAGCTGCTGGCCGAGCGGCACAAAGACTTTGAGCAAAATCACTTTCCGATGCCTTAAATTTGCGAGCAGCCGCTTAAGTTGCCAGCGAGAGAAGAAACCATAAGAAGAGACACATAGGAGGAGCAGTTGCGCCAGTGACACACACGTGCAGCAACAAAAACAATTAGGGGTATTCACAGTCAACCGATTATCACATTGTCAGGATATACTCTTACTCGCAGATGCTAAAGCTTACATCTCAGTCAATTCCGAACGATAAATGAGCAGCAAATGTTTCCCATGAAAAGAGGTTTTCAAAATATCTATCTAAATAAGCTTCGTCAATGGAAGATTCCAACAAAGTACACTCTGGGCCGGGCGTGAAGACTTTTTAAGTTGAAACGAGTGCCATTTCGTCAAATACATTAAAAAAAAAAGAGATTCTGACATATTTTTTTTAACTCCACCAACTCAAAGGCAATTCATTTAAAAAGGAAACCAAAACCATACCAATTTCCCCAAATTTATGCAAAACTTCAGAAATAGATTCTGGCATTTTTAAGTTTATTTTCAACTCCAACTCTAAAGCAATTCATTTAAAAATGAAAGAAATCGAATCAGAGATAGAAACAGCGGTTTTATTAAACATACCGATTGCGCCAAATTTATCAGCGATTTCAGACAGATGAATGGATTCTTCACAAATATATTTAATAAAGGAAAAGAGATTCTGGCATTATTAAGTTTATTTTCAAATCCAACTCTAAAGCAATTCACTTAAAAATTAAATAAATCGAATCAGAAATAGAAAAAGCGGTTTTATGTAGCATACCGATTCCGCCAAATTTATCCGCAATTTCAGACAGATCAATGAATTCTTCACTAATACATTTAATAAAGGAAAAGAGATTCTGGCATTATTATGTTTATTTCCAACTCTAAAGCAATTCACTTAAAAATTAAATAAATCGAATCAGAAATAGAAAAAGCGGTTTTATGTAGCATACCGATTCCGCCAAATTTATCCGCAATTTCAGACAGATCAATGGATTCTTCACTAATACATTTAATAAAGGAAAATAGATTCTGAAATATTTTATGTTTATTTTTTAACTCCACCAACTCATTAGTAATTAATTTAAGAATGAAAAAATCGAATCAGAGACAGCGGTTTCATTCCGATTCATACCGATCCGCAAAATGTATCCGAAATTTGAGATGGAAAGAGATCTGTCTATTTTAGCTGAATATAGTTAAATGCACACCAATAAAGAAAACACTGGTTATCAATCCCACATACTACACATATACATATTACTGTTTTAAAAGAGTCCTTTTCCCAATGTATAGCAGGGAAAATGGACCAGCCCTCATATCCGGCTACGATCAAATAAATCGAAAGGAAACTAAATTGCAAAGTACATTATTTTGGTTTCAAGTGTCTTAAAATAGTTCTATATACATATTGATAGGTGTTTTATTAATAGTACTTCATTTTGTTTGAAATGAATATGAACAGCACAGAGAGAAATGAGAAAAGAGAAAAGCTACTAGCGGAGAACATTTAGGCTTTTTGTTGCCCTGTAGAGTCCCATAAGATCGAATACTTAAGCTAATTTTATGTTTACATGATTCAGCTCTAATTAAAGAAGAAGCTTTCGGATTTGTTGTAGCCCTGACAACCATTTAATCGTCTAACTCTGAATACCCTAAATTATTATTAAAACAAAAAAAAAAGCAAATCAATTTAAAATTAATCTAGTCAACTAAATTGGAGCTTGCGATGCTGCTCGCTTAGTTCTTTCAGCTATGTGTATGTAATATTGTAATATTGTTCTCTTTTGTTTATGTCGTGTGTTAGTAAGTCGTCGACATCAACAACTAGCGTTAATTGTTTTTTTTTTAATCGCAAGCTGTCTCGACAGCTGGCATCTAACATATAAAAAAAATGTAATAGGCAAGTAAAAAGTAAAAAACATATATATAAGCCAGATGTTTTTTTTTTGTGTATGTATGATAGAGAATAACACCGACACCAACATGCGAATATCGCCAATAGACAAACACACACACATACACTCCAAAACTGTACACCCGATCACACGGACTTACGAGTATAAACAGGACATGAAGAGCCATCTACGCTTTTGGTTTCAAAGGCTTGTGTTTTGCATTCTGTCGGTGAAAATAACATAAATATACGAATTTCCCTATTTGAAAATATGATATTACGATTAAAATTACACACATACAGCCTCGCTTCTATTTCCAAACCTTTCACCTTTTTGGCAAATCACAGTTCGATTCGGACGCATCATAAACGTATGGAATAAGGCAATATACATAAATTATTTGGCAATAAACATGTTACTTTCGAACTATACAAATGTTTAAATTAATTTACGATTTTAAATTAGGTTAATGGTCGGGATAATGCAACTTGTTTAGATTAGCAATACAAAATATGTAATACTAGCTGTATCTTAAAGTCCATCAATATCAACTATGCCAGCGCAAATTGTGATTTAGTTGCCCCTGCTACATTTTTGCAAAGGTTAATTGAAAACCGACAATAACTGAAACGAAAATTCTTCTACAACTATCTATCCAATACTACTGATCTTAATAATTTTTATTTTTTTCAGGTTTATTTTCTTTTGTTTCTACATAGGTTTTATCTCAATTAATAGCGTCAATATTTTTTGGTTTCGTATATATATATTTTATTTATCTTTTTATTTTATTTTTGTTTGTTTTTTTAATTCTTTTTTATTATTTTGCGAATCGGCAGATTTGGCCATAACACAACAATTAGACATTTTTATATATGAAACCACTCTTAGAGAATTTGAAGACTGTAAGTAATTTTTTAATTTTTATGCTGCCGGTACACGAAATCAGCTTCGATCTCAAAACGGAAATGGTTTGTTAAATTGGTTTATATATTTTGCATATTAAGATATTCGGAAAAGCGAAAATAACACAATACATACATTTTCAACACCATAAGCTTTTTCAATGACATCAAATATTTCATGAAAAACTATTTATTTAAATAATCGTGAAATTTGTCATTAGTATTTTATTTTAAAAATTGAAAAAAAATTGTTTCCTGAATTCCAACATTTTTCTCGATTTTGAATTATTCTATTTATTTTATTTGTTAGCCCTATTGAGTGCGCATCGACTATAAAGACAAATTTTGAATAATATCATTTACATATCCTACATTACTTTCTTTTGTCTTTCTGCCTTCATGTATGCGGCTTATGGATGGTTGATATTGATAGTATGGAGTCAGTTTTAACAATGTTTTAAAAATGTAACACTTTTTAGCAATTCATTCCACATAATGACTAAGGCACATTAAGTGAAGAACAAGTTTTTATTAATGCCTGGCTGTATGCAAGAAAATTTTGTTGGCTGGCACCAAACTATTTGTCACACATATCTATTATAATAAATACTATATTAATGCAGTAAATAAACTTATATTCATAATGAACATGACCACCAGAAAGCACTAGTTTAGTTATTTAGCAGCCACATCGATGATTATATTAAAGCATATGTAGTTATAGCAACATGACAGCTTCTTAAACGAAAAGTCGCTCAAAGCTTAGCAAATGAACTGCAGAATAGGATTCATCGCAAAGTCTATAAACCGAGAACTTGTAGATTTGACAAGTTTGCAAAAAACTTAAATGGCCTTTTTCCTAATTACTTGGAATGTTATTTGCAGCACAGCTTCCAGATGCCAAAATATCGTATAATTTTAATGAAAATTCCAATGAAAAGCCACCCGCAGTTATCACGCACGCACACACCCTCTTACAGACGTATGTGTGTGTGTGTGTCTATGTGTGGGCGAAGCATCAGCAAAATAGGTTTCAAAATTAACACACAAAGGCAAAATAAATGGAAATACAAACACAAGCTGGCAGCAGACAAAAGTGTAGACGCTACAACAAACATAATGTACAAAATGTCGAGAGCAGCGCTGCAATGAAACAATCACGTATATAACCAAAAACACCAAAAAATAAAAAAAACACATTAACAAGCAACCCTATATACGTACACCCACAATTATGTAAAATTAATTAGTGAAAAGAATTTAGTGGTGAACAGTTGATTGAGGAAACATATCAAAAGGAAAGGGAGAAAGAAAATCTGGCAACAATCGAACTCAACTGAGCTCTAATTTAAAACAAAAGATTAACACAAATACACACACAATACATTTACATACATGTGTATGCAGAGAGTAGAAAATGTCACAAACACACACACACACACACACACACACACATAAACATTAATGGTAAAAACAAATGAACGAGCTAAGGCACATGAAACAAAAGTTCAGTGCAAATATAATATTATATACTACAACAAAAACTGCAATTATATAAACGTTATTATGTAGCCAAAAACAGCAACAACGAAAACAATAAAACAAAAAACCAAAAAAAAACAAACTCTGACCTAAGGGGGTATTAAAAAATACGACTCCATAGAGTATGCTACGAAAACAGTCTATGAGCAGAGAAAACCTCAAACGAATGCCAATTGGAAACCCGCTTGTCGCGACAAGCCAATGTTTCTAATTAACATATCAAAAGTGGCAAATGCGAAGTGTTTAAGTTAACAACACAGATGCAAATGCAAATGCAAATACCAATACGAATATGTCGTATGTATGTACGTGTGAGAGGCAGAAATAGAAGCAATTAAAACTAAGCAGAAATTAATGTTGAGCCAGAAAGCAGCAGAAAGCACTGGCAAACTTTTCTCAGCTTTAAAGCATCAGTTGAAATGTGAAATTATTTATTTTCAGCTTGAGCCTCTTTGCTTTCGACTCGACTTTGTCAACAATAACAACAGTAAACAAATTACAAACAAATTTTTTTTAAAATATCCACTTCATAATTAGCAGCAACCACAACAACAATACAATGAGCGTTGTTTTTAATTTGCCGCCAGATTTAAAATTGTTGCTTGCAGTAGGAGGGAGGATTAGATTTTTTAATTATTTCCTAATCCCATTTTAGCTTGAAGGCACTGCAACACGCTTTTTAAATTGCGCTTATTTAAGTCGGAAACCTTGTTCTGCAAATTCATCGATTTTGAACTCTTGTATTGCCTTTTCTTTTTTTATTACGTATTAAACAAACTCGTTCACAAAGCACTAGGCTTTCTTACGTCCTCAGGTCCTTCCCCGAAATCCCAATTAAAAATATTGA